TTTTTATAACACACATTAATGGCAAGTAGCATGTAAAACTGTCTAAAAACTGACTTCTTTGTAATCTGGTTTAAAAGCGCTTTGCAGTTTTACCTGCTAATGTGCTATTTAGGAGCTAATCCCAATAGTGTTGCCAACTGTCATGATTTTTGGGAGGTGTTTTTCTTAAACTCTAGCTTGTGGAAGCATGTGAATAGGTGAGAATCTCATCTTCCATTGAACAAAAGAAAGTTTCTAGTCCTCATGGTTGGAAAGAAAAGCTTGACAACATGACCAGAGTGTACTTTAAGGCTCAGTAACTAGAAGGCAAATTCCCCCCCCCTCCCTAAATGTGTTTTTAAAAAAGCACCTTTAAAGCAAATCTCGTGATTTGGGGTGGGGTTGGGGACCTGACTCATGGTTTTTGAATGCTTGGGGAGGGAAATACAGAGAACAGCTCTGAAACGTACCATGACGATACTATAGGACCAGGGGTCTCCGAAAGAACAGGATGATTCCACATTGTCTTGAACACCAACAATCCTTTAATACAACGTAGGGTTGCCAAGTGTTCACTTTTTGACTGGAATGCCCGGTCGAAAAGGGACCCTGGCAGCTCCGGTCAGCACTGCCGACTAGGCCGGTAAAAGTCTGGTCAGCAGTGCTGCAGGGCTAAGGCAGGCTAGTCCCTACCTGTCCTGGCACTGTGCTGTGCCTCGGAAGAGGCCAGCAGGTCTGGCTCCTAGGCGGGGGGTCCATGGTGCTCCACATGCTGCCCCCACCCCGAGCACCAGTTCTGCACTCCCATTGGCCAGGAACTGCAGCTGAGAGCCTGCAGGTGAGAGCAGCACAGAGCCTCCTGGCCCCGCCACCTAGGAGCCGGACCTGCTGGCTGCTTCTGGGTCGCAGCGCTTTGCCAGGACAGCCAGGGAGCCTGCCTTAGCCCTGCTGACCAGGAGCCGCCGAGGTAAGCCCGTGCCCCAACGTGGAGTCCCCTCCTGTACCCCCCCAACCCCCTCATCCACAGCCCTGCCCCAGAGCCTGCACCTGAGCCCAGTGAAAGTGAGTGAGCGTGGGGGGGGGAGTGAACTACCGAGGGAGGGTGAATATGGTGAGCCGGGGGGGGGGGGGGGGGGGCATGGCCTCGGGGAAGGGGCGGGCCTAGGGTGTTCAGTTTTGTGCGATTAGAAAGTCGGCTTCCCTAACTCTAAAAAGTGGTGGTCTGCCCTAGAACTGGCTAATGGCTGCATCACACCCCAGAATACTTTTACTTTCACTTTCCACTGACTCTGCAGCTTTGCTCTTACTCTGTCTACGGCAACCCATCTAGTGGGAGACGGGAAACACATTCGAATGAATGGATTACTTGTTACTTAGATTTGCTCTTTTCTGTTTGACTAGTGAATCTTCTCCAAGGCAACGGTCTCCATTTTGCACCTTTATTTCTTTTTGACTGCAAATAGCAGACAGTGGCTGACTTTCCTGGCATTTTTCTCTTGTCTTGGCAAGCCTGTGTGTAATGTTTTAAAATAGGTTAAAAAGAAATCCAGAGCTGCAACACATAAAAATATATTTTTTGCAACTCATTTCATGGAAATGAGGTGTCTGATTCTAATTCATTCTGTCAAATTCAAATTTATTTTATTAGTCAGATTAATCACAGTGGATAACAAGGTTATTTCAGAAAATATATCAACTGACTGGCACACCAAGGAACAGAAAGAATTCAGTGTAAAAAAGAAACAGAGGTTGGCAAATTTAAAAGCGGCCTCTAATTTTGTACTTGAAATTTTGCATCCACAATGAATTGCATATGCATTCTTGCAAAAGCAATCTAGTTTGGAATGTAGCTGTTAACATACAGATCTCTAACTGCCTGATTTGTAGTCAGAATTGTCATATATCCCACAACTCAGATCATCAGGCATCTAAATTGATTGCACCTCCCATTAATTGCAGGCACAAAATTGTAGGTGAAAAATGTAGCGACCCCTTTTGAAAATTTGGCTCATAGCAGTAATTTATTACAAGCCTTCCTTTTGAGAATTCTGATTGCTTTTCAAATGCACATAATGACACCAAAACCTGAAATTAGACATGCATGACCAGTTGATGATACCAGAATAGTACATCAAAGAAAGTGTCTTGAGGATGACTGGTCAATAAATCTGCTTGACAATTTAATTGGTATAATTGATAAAATCCATATAACTACTAGGGAGGAAATTAAATTACTCTATACAAATCAGGTTGGGATTTAGATTAGTATTTTCTGGGTCAACTCTGTTTCATGCAAATTATGTTATTGAAGACCCCTTCATTCTGAATGCATGTGTTACTTTTCCCCATAAAAAGTTTATTAATTCCTCTACTGTGGCATAGGCTGGTACCCTCAACCAAAGCTGCAGGTGAGTGTGCATTGCCGAGTCACAATCATCAGACAGTGCACTGTTTTTTGTTTGTTTGTGATTAGATTGCACACACTTCTTCAAGCTGCAGTTCACAATAGGGCTCTAGGGTTTAGAGATGTCAAAGTACTATTAATCTATGTAATCCATGAGGCTTTATAACACATTAATCAGGAGCAAGTATTCACAGAAAGAAGTTTTGCCCTTCAATGGCACCTATTCAGTGCTAAAATAAAGAGATAAAATTCAGGAAGCACTCAGTAAAATTCTGCGGCCTGCGTTGTGCAGAAGGTCAGATGATCATAAAGGTTTTCTGGCCTTAAAATCTATGACACGCAATATAATATAAGCTTAATGCAGGGAACAAACTAGTTTGCTCTTATCTGATAACTTGTAGAAAAGCTGAACAATATTTTTGGTCCTCTAGTTTCCACAACAGTGTGTCTGAGCATGCTCCACCCTTGTGAAGCAGTGAATGCCATGCAAGGCACTGCAGCAATCCCCTTCTGTGGCTGATTCTGGACAGTTGGATGAGCTGCAGAGGACAGGGCAGGAATCATGGCGTGTAGCCTTGAGGATGCCTGCATTTCTGTTCATAGGAAAGTGGGGAAAATAGAGAAGATTCAGCTGGGCTCTGAAATGGGGGCGGAATAAACAAAGCTTAAAAGGGACACAAATTTCCGAGCATGCTCTGAGAGAGACTCCATTGCAGTGAGTGAAAAGAAGAGCCTTTTCATCAGAACATATTCTCCCCCCATTGTGAGGTAAAGGGAATAAAAATGCTCAGCGGTCTGCATGGCCACTGCATACCAGCTGTACAGTAATATTGTAATGAACTGCTTAGCCAATCATTGTTATGCTGGTGCGTTTAGCAGCTTGCTTCCAATATTGCATTATGAAAATTACATATTTCATGTAATCAGGTCTGTCTCTTACTTCATCATCCTCCTCCACTTATAAATCTTTAGAATGGATGGGTCTATAAATCACATGCATTTTTCATTTATCGTTTATTTTAAGCCAGGCAGTTTCTTATTTAAATTGCCATATGAATAAATCTAATAATCCTTATTCACTTACATCATCCCAAACTTTAAATCTTGTTCTGACTGAGGTCATAAGTGAAATCAGTATTAAGGGCAAAACTAGCAGCTGTAACAACTGTAATAGCTCGCCAAATTATATTAAAGGGCTCAAATAATATTAAAAATGAGGAAGAATTGAATTACATTATTAAAGCATGCTATGCTGAATCAGGCAAACATTGGCCCTAACCAGAGATCCTGAATGTGCATATACTGAATTTATCACCACACTAGTGCATATGCCCTGACTTAATCGAGGAATCAAGTACTTCCCTAAACATTTCTTTTTATGAACTGCATTTGTATGTGATTCTGTATAGGCTTTAATACAACACCTAAAGTCTGAACAGACATGGTGTTAAAAATCACAACACTCAGAGCAAGCCCATTTTAAGGTGTGAGGAAAATACTTGTTGGGAATTCTAAACCAATTTGCACACCCAGGGCCAGATTTTGTCACTCTTGCTCACATTGGGCTGATTCAGATGTTTTCACTCACCATGGGTAGCCCCTTCCTCTACAAGTGGTCTGTAGTGGGCTTCAGTTGGGGGCCAGCAGGCCTTCTGGTCAGGCTCTGCGGCTGAGAGCCTGCAGGTGAGAGCAGCACACAGAGCCTCCTGGCCCTGCCACCTAGGAGCCAAACAATCTCCCCAAACCTTGAGATGGCTCTTCCGGCCAGTCTGCGACTCCAGTGGCCAAGCCACATTTCATCGTACCCCCTTGGAATCCTCCAGGATCTCTCAGGAGTCTAGGGGAAGAGAGAAGGGTAAGGGGACCAAGGCTTTCCCTCTCCACTGAGTCCTGGCCCAAAGGGAGAGAGATGAGGGGTGTCTCAGCCCTTTTGGGCTGCCACCCTAGATCAGCCTCAACTTGAGCCTCTTCCTACCTTCCCTGTTTCCTTTCAGTTTAGGGCATGGCCCCAGCCTTCTGCTTACAGCCTACAAAGTTCAGGGCTTCAGATGCAGGGGATGGTGGGGCTGTTTCCCAGCTCATCCTCAGCCCTGGTCTACACTAGGAGTTGAGGTCAAATTTAGCAGCATTAAATCGATTTAACCCTGCACCCCTCCACATGACAAATCCCTTTTTTTCAACTTAAAGGGCTCTTAAAATCGATTTCCTTACTCCACCCCCGACAAGGGGATTAGTGCTGAAATCGGCCTTGCCAGGTCGAATTTGGGGTACTGTGGACACAATTTTATGGTATTGGCCTCCGGGAACTATCCCAGAGTACTCCATTGTGACCGCTCTGGACAGCACTCTCAACTTAGATGGCACTGGCCAGGTGGACAGGAAAAGGCCCACAAACTTTTGAATTTCAATTTCCTGATTGGCCAGTGTGGCAAGCTGAAGGTGAGTGCAGAGCTCATCAGCAGAGGTGACCATGGTGGAGTCCCAGAATTGCAAAGGAGCTCCAGCATGGACTGAACGGGAGGTATGGGATCTGATCGCTGTATGGGGAGAGGAATCCGTGCTATCAGAACTACGTTCCAGTTTTTGAAATGCCAAAACGTTTGTCAAAATCTCCCAGGGCATGAAGGACAGAGGACATAACAGGGACCCGAAGCAGTGCCGCATGAAACTTAAGGAGCTGAGGCAAGCCTACCAGAAAACCAGAGAGGCAAACGGCCGCTCCAGGTCAGAGCCCCAAACATGCCGCTTCTATGATGAGCTGCATGCTATTTTAGGGGGTTCAGCCACCACTACCCCAGCCGTGTTGTTTGACTCCTTCAATGGAGATGGAGGCAACATGGAAGCAGGTTTTGGAGACGAGGAAGATGATAGCTCACAGCAAGCAAGCGGAGAAACTGGTTTTCCCGACAGCCAGGAACTGTTTCTCACCCTGGACCTGGAGCCAGTACCCTCCGAACCCATCCAAGGCTGCCTCCCAGACCCGCCAGGTGGAGAAGGGACCTCTGGTGAGTGTACCTTTTAAAATAGTATACATGGTTTAAAAGCAAGCATGTTAAATGATTAATTTGCCCTGGCATTCGCGGCTCTACTGGATGTACTCCCAAAGCCTTTGCAAAAGGTTTCTTTGGGGAGGGCAGCCTTATTCCGTCCACCATGGTAGGACACTTTACCACTCCAGGCCAGTAGCACGTAGTTGGGAATCATTGTAGAACAAAGCATTGCATTGTATGTTTGTGTTATCCTCAGGAGAGTGATATTATTCATGGTCACCTGGTTGAAATAGGGTGGTTTTCTTAAGGGGACATTCAGAGGTGCCTGTTCCTGCTGGGCTGTTTGCCCGTGGCTGAACAGAAATGTTCCCTGCTGTTAGCCACAGGGAGGGGGGAGGGCCTAGCCACACGGTGGAGGGAGGCAAAATGCGACCTTGGAACGAAAGCACATGTGCTGTGTATGTAATGTTAACAGCAAGATTTACCGTGAAAGAGTGTACCCATTGTTCTAGAAAATTTGTCTTTTTAAATACCATTGTCCCTTTTTTTTCTCCACCAGCTGCATGTGTTTCAAGGATTACAGGATCTTCTCCTTCCCAGAGGCTAGCGAAGATTAGAAGGCGAAAAAAACTCACTCACGATGAAATGTTCTCTGAACTCATGCTGTCCTCCCACACTGACAGAGCACAGATGAATGCATGGAGGCAGACAATGTCAGAGTGCAGGAAAGCACAAAATGACCCGCAGGAGAGGTGGCGGGCTGAAGAGAGGGCTGAAGCTGAAAGGTGGCGGCAGCATGATGAAAGGAGGCAGGATTCAATGCTGAGGCTGCTGGAGGATCAAACTAATATGCTCCAGCATATGGTTGAGCTGCAGGAAAGGCAGCTGGAGCACAGACTGCCACTACAGCCCCTGTGTAACCAACTTCCCTCCTCCCCAAGTTCCATAGCCTCCTCACCCAGACGCCCAAGAATGCGGTGGGGGGGCCTCCGGCCACCCAGCCACTCCACCCCAGAGAATTGCCCAAGCAACAGAAGGCTGGCATTCAATAAGTTTTAAACTTTTAAAGTGCTGTGTGGCCTTGTCCTTCCCTCCTCCACCACCCCTCCCGATGCTCCTCTCCTCCACCACCCCTCCCGGGCTAACTTAGCAGTTATCCCCCTATTTGTGTGATGAATTAATAAAGAATGCATGAATATGAAGCAACAATGACTTTATTTCCTCTGCAGCAGTGATTGAAGGGAGGAGGGAAGGGTGGTTAGCTTGCAGGGAAGTAGAGTGAACCAAAGGGCGGGGGGTTTCATCAAGAAGAAACAAACAGAACTTTCACACCGTAGCCTGTCCAGTCATGAAACTGGTTTTCAAAGCTTCTCTGATGCGCACCGTGCCCTCCTGTGCTCTTCTAACCGCCCTAGTGTGTGGCTATGCAAAACCAGCGGCCAGGCGATTTGCCTCAACCTCCCCCCCCCCACCATAAACGTCTGCCCCTTACTCTCACAGATATTGTGGAGTACACAGCAAGCAGTAATAACAGTGGGAATATTGGTTTCGCTGAGGTCTGAGTCAGTAAACTGCACCAGCGCACTTTTAAACATCCAAATGCACATTCTACCACCATTCTGCACTTGCTCAGCCTGTAGTTGAACAGCTCCTGACTACTGTCCAGGCTGCCTGTGTATGGCTTCATGAGCCATGGCATTAAGCGGTAGGCTGGGTCCCCAAGGATAACTATAGGCATTTCAACATTCCCAACGTTTATTTTCTGGTCTGGGAATAAAGTCCCTTCCTGCAGCTTTTGAAACAGACCAGAGTTCCTGAAGATGTGAGCGTTCTGTACCTTTCCCGGCCATCCCACGTTGATGTTGGTGAAACGTCCCTTGTGATCCACCAGTGCTTGCAGCACTATTGAAAAGTACCCCTTGTGGTTTATGTACTCGCCGGCTTGGTGCTCCGGTGCCAAGACAGGGATATGGGTTCCCTAGGGAATCCCATTGCAGCAAAGCCATCCACTATGACCTGCACATTTCCCAGGGTCACTACCCTTGATATCAGCAGATCTTTGATTACGTTGGCTATTTGCATCACAGCAGCCCCCACAGTAGATTTGCCCACTCCAAATTGATTCCCAACTGACCGGTAGCTGTCTGGCGTTGCAAGCTTCCACAGGGCTATCGCCACTCGCTTCTCAACTGTGAGGGCTGTTCTCATCTTGGTATTCATGCGCTTCAGGGCAGGGGAATGCAAGTCACAAAGTTCCATGAAAGTACCCTTATGCATGTGAAAGTTTCTCAGCCACTGGGAATCGTCCCAGACCTGCAACACTATGCGGTCCCACCAGTCTGTGCTTGTTTCCCAGGCCCAGAATCAGTGTTCCACCGCATGAACCTGCCCCATTAGCACCATGATGCCCACATTGCCAGGGCCCGTGCTTTGAGAGAAGTCTGTGTGCATGTCCTCATCACTCTCATCACCGTGCTGACGTTGCCTACTCGCCCGGTTTCACTTTGCCAGGTTCTGGTGTTGCATATTTTGCTGGATAATGTGCGTGGTGTTTAATGTGCTCCTAATTGCCAAAGTGATCTGAGCGGCCTCCATGCTTGCCATGGTATGGCGTCTGCACAGAAAAAAGGCGCGGAACAATTGTCTGCCATTGCTGTGACGGAGGGAGGGGCGACTGACGACCTGGCTTACAGGGAATTAAAATTAACAAAGGGGGTGGCTATACATCAAGGAGAAACAAAAACAACTGTCACACAGAATGGCCCCCTCAAGGATTGAACTCAAAACCCTGGGTTTAGCAGGCCAATGCTCAACCCACTAAGCTATCCCTCCGTCTGGTAGTTCAGGTAGGACTGAATCTCCATTAAAGTTTCCAAGGTGCCCCTGACAGATCTCACCAAAATGATTGTTGGCCGTTGATTTCACGGAGGGAGGGAGGGGGGAGCAAATGAATACAAAACAAATCTGGTCTATTTCTTGTTTTGAACCACTCTGTCTATCTTTTACATCTTTGGCTGGCAGCAGACGGTGCAGTAGGACTGCAAGCCATCCACATCTCCTGGCTGCTCGGTGAAGATGGTGCAATAGAACTGCTAGCCATCCTCATCTCCTGCCTGCCCAGCAGAAGATGGTACAATAGGACTGCCTGCAGGACTAAAGAGAATGACCTGGTTGAGTCACTCCTAATTTAATCCCTGGGCCCATGTCTGCCCAGGCGCTCCTGACCAACCTTACCAAGGCGGCCCGGAGCACCTCAGACATGATGACGATGGTTTTCAGGCCTATTGCAGTGTCTGCTGCCGCAAGGCAATGGGTTGCTGCTGCTGTGTAGCAGTGCTGTACCAAGTCTGACAGCACCCAGGAGACATACGGTGACAGTGAGTTGAGCGGGCTCCATGCTTGCAGTGGTATGGCGTCTGCACAGGTAACTCAGGAAAAAAGGCGCGAAACAATTGTCTGCTGTTGCTTTCACGGAGGGAGGAAGGGAGAGAGGGCCTGACGACATGTACCCAGAACCGCCCATGACAATGTTTTGTGCCCCATCAGGCACTGGGATCTCAACCCAGAATTCCAATGGGCGGCGGAGACTGTGGGAACTGTGGGATAGCTACCCACAGGGCAACACTCCGGAAGTCGACACCAGCCTCGGTACTGTGGAAGCACTCCGCCGAGTTAATGCACTTAATGCACTTAGAGCATTTTGTGTGGGGACACACACAATCGACTATATAAAAACAATTTCTAAAAAACCGACTTCTATAAATTTGACCTAATTTCATAGTGTAGACATAGCCTCAGAGTCCAGTTGTGTGTGTCCTCCCCTTAGTCAGAGGGAAGGGCGATCCCAGCCGAGTCTTACTCACAATCACGGTACATCCCCTATAGATCAGTAGTTCTCAAACTAGGGCCGCCGCTTGTTCAGGGAAAGCCCCTGGTGGGCCGGGCCAGTTTGTTTACCTGCTGCGTCCACAGGTTCGGCCGATCGCGGCTCCCACTGGCCGCGATTCGCCGCTCCAGGCCAATGGGGGCTGCGGTAAGCGGCACAGGCCGAGGGATGTGCTGGCCGCCCTTCCTGCAGCTCCCATTGGGCTGGAGTGGCGAACTGCGACCAGTGGGAGCCGCGATCGGCCAAACCTGTGGACCCAGCAGGTAAACAAACCGGCCCGGCCTGCCAGGGGCTTTCTCTGAACAAGCGGCGGCCCTAGTTTGAAAACCACTTCTATAGATTACTCTGCCTCAGTGGCTGCAACCTGCCTGTTTACTTGCAGCCAATCTCTCCTCCATGCTCCCCCCTGCTGGACTACCAGAGCTCCCTTTTAAGCAGGCCTTCCATAGGGAGCATGCTCAGCTTAGGGGCAGGGCCTTTTTGGCCGTATACTGTTGCACCACTCCTTTTTTCCATAGTGTGGGGTTTGTAAGCCCCATCACACACCTATCCTCTCAGGCTGAGTGCTGCAGGGTCGGCCTGTATGGATAGGTCTCCTCTGTCCCGCAAAAAGAAGTCCATGTTCTCGTGGTCACATCCCACTCAATGTAGTAGCTCAAACTTGTACAGGTACAGTGAGAGGTATGAGAGCATAATCCTCAAGTTATGGTCTTTTGTGGTGTTCTGCCACTGAAGAGCTGCATGATCCATCATGAGATGGAATGGCTGGCCCCATAAGTAAGAGCAGACTGCTTCAAGCGCCCATTTTACTGCCAAGGAATCCTTCTCTATCACTGAGTATGCCACTTCCCAGGGGAACAATTTCCAGCTAAAGTAAAGGATTGGGTGTTCTTCTCCCTCCACCTCTTGGAAAATCATGGCTCCAAGGCTGATATCGGAGGCATCTGCAGGATGAAAGGTTTAGAAAATCAGGGTGGAACAGGATGGGCTCCCAAGTTAGTTGATCTTTTAATTTTTTGAAAGCTGTGGTGCAGTCCAGAGACCACTGGACTGTCCTGGTATGGACAGTCTTTGTGGTGCGTGCAGGACATTCCACCAGAGCTTGGACCTGTCCTACCACAAAGGGGCATAGGCGCCCCCTCCCCACTGCATACCCCAGGTACATCACCTCTCAATTAGCCAGGCAGCACTTGGCAGGATTAGTTGTAAGTCCAGCACTTCTGGAGGGCCTGCAGGACTGTTGCAAAATGTTTTAAATGCTCATTCCAGGACTTGCTGTAGATAACGATATCATCGATGCACACAGCTGCATCCTGATCATGAGGCTGAAGCACCTTGTCCATCATGGAAGGTGGCTGTTGCTCCATGTAGGGCAAAAGTATTGTCTGGAATTGGTACAGGCCAAACAGAATGTAGAAGGCTGTCTTTTCTCAGGACTCCAGAATCAAGGGGATCTGCCAGTGACCCCTGGTTAGGTCAAGGGTGGAGATATACTTGGCGGCCTCTAACTTCTCTAACAATTTGTCAACCCTCAGCATCAGGTAGGCCTCCAATCTGGATACCCCACTGACCTTCTGGAAGTCTCTGAAGAATCTGGTCAACCTGTACTGTTTAGGTACCAACACTATAGGGCTTTGCCACTCACAATGTGACTCCTCGACTACCCTGAGGTCTAATATAGCTTGCAGTTAATTCTATACTGTTTCCCATATGCGCCTCGGCAATGGCCAAAAGTTCTTGCTTACCTTTTTCCCTGTTTCAGTCTTTATGTGATAGAACACTAGATGAGTTTGTTCTGCAACTGTGGAAAAGACTGCCAAGAAGGACTGGGCAAATTTTTGGATCTGCCACTTTTGCTACATCTGCAGGGTCTTCTCCAACCAGGACTTATTCAGAGCTGGGGGCTATGGAAGCCTGAGGCCTGCGTTCTGGAGGATATGGCATTAGCAGGAGCCCTTCTCAATATTTCCAGGCCTTTAGCAGGTTGACCTGGTACATCTTAATGTCTTTCCTTTTGCTGGGTTGATGAACCTCATAATTTACTGCCCCAATTCATCAGATCACTTCAAAGGGGCTTTACCATTTAGCCAAAATTTCGATTCCAAGGTGGGGAGCAGGAGTAACATCCAGTCCCTCAGTTGGAACTCCTGGACATGGGTTCCCTTATTGTACACTTGCACTTGCCCCATTGTGCCTTGGGTAGATTTTCTCTCACAAACTCTCCTACTGCCTTTGACTTCTCTCTTAGTTATAGCACGTATTGTTCTGAGTTCATAGCTTTGGAATTTAG